TATATCTGTGCGAAAATTTGCATACTGCTTAAATAAGAAGTCCTTGCTTTTTAACATACCGTTATAAATAGGTTTTCTCCCCTTTTCTCTCTGTCTCTTTTATATCTCTTAGAAAATCTATTCTATTGAATAAAATTGCAACAAGAAATTATGGTAATTGATTGAAATGATTGAATGATCAGAGAATGACCGAATACTGCATATATTATACATATAGCATCGCAATATTCGATTACATTTAATAAACATCAGCCTTCTTGTTATTGTTTAAAAATATACATACAGTGATGAAGAAGACAACGAACTTCGTTTCAATGCTTAATAGTGATTTCTTTTTCAAGAATAAGATAATATTTTAACTCTTTAAGAAAACCTCATGCTTCCTTTTTTTGATGTATTTTTCCGCTCGCAAGAAAAGCAATAAGATGGAAGAAAAAAAATACGAAAGGAGAAAGAGACCGAGAGAATAGCAGCTTAGAAAAATGCGAAGAGCTAAAGGTCTTGTCTCTTTCAGGACAAGATAAAGTCGCGGAATCCTCGGATCATTTCTCCGCGGCGGAGATATATGTCCGCGGGATACAAACGACAAAATCCAATTCTCCGGTACAGCAATGCATTGGGGTCGTTAATCCATCGCGGCACAGCCACGTTGGACTATAAGGCTGTTACTTTTTACTTACTTCGAATATTCGAAGTTTCGAAAATACATTTGTGCAAATTTAATTAAAAAATTAATAATTTTTATTAATTTCACTATTTTAATTATTTTAAATTTTCTGTTTTTAAGATTGTTTTATGCTGAGGAAGATTTAATGACGCCAAAACAATTATATTAATTTATTACATTTTTGTTTATTTATTTAAGCACAAATTTATTTTTATTTTTTTGAACTTTTTGATTGTTTTATTGAACATTATCTTTCCTTATTTACATACGTATCAAGTTTAATTATTATATTAATTTGTAATATTATAGTACTTTCAAATTTTTTAGGAATAATTACGTATAAATACTTTGAGCATATATACAATTCTTTTTATTTACAATATTTGCAAATTTTCTGAATAAATTCATTTGCACGAATGTATTTTTCGAAACTTCGAAGCTTCGAAAGAATTCGAAGAGTTTAATGCCGAATCTTCGAAGCTTCCAAGTTCGAATGTCGAAGCCTTCCGAAGCAAATCACCAGCCCTACGTTAAACACGATGCTGCAGCGCAATAAAATCTTACGATTATACGCTCAAGCATTTCATCGTGGACGCTCTCGTCTCGGCGAAGAGATTCGCTGACTTCCCTCCGAATAATAATGCGCACGCCGCCCAGCTTTGAGGCGCACCGTGCGCTAACGGTGAATACGCGCGCAACGGATGCCGTGTCACCTTGCGGTGCTTAAAGCGTGCAGCCGCAAATCTGCCGCGCGATTCTATTTTCATTTCCACTTCTACCGTGAGTACCGTGGGGTAGACTGACGATTTAACCGATGCTCCGCGTTCCTCGCGCGGCCGCCGACAGAATACAACGTATGTATTTCCGTGTTTCTGTGAAAAGAAGCGACGTGTGAGAAACGAGAAAAGAGCGTACATACACCACGAAATTTTAATTAAAAAGACTGCACATACAGGGTGTCTCGTACTATTAATGGTACAACGCTTGTGGGCAGGTAGTGTGGACAAAACTGAACAAAAAAGTCCTCTACCATTTTGCGATCTTCGCAATAGTTATCGAGATACTAATCATTTTTAAAAAAGAAAAAATTTTACATAATGGCCAAGTTTTTGCTTCATTATGATTCAGTTGATCATTTTAATAACTTTAAATCTGTTTTACGAAACTTAAAGTTATTTAGAAAGACAATGGCATTAAACTTTTGCTGCATTTAATTTTGAATAATTTAAACGATTTATTAAAAAATATTTTTCTGGTTTGGAAATAAAATATTTTTGTCTTTACTTTCTATGTCTAATCAAATACTTGGCAATTTGTATGATCTCATATTTGTTTTTGGACAACTTTTATTTGTTAAAATAATATTTTTGGTTTAGATAAGATGTATCTAATGTACGATACACTTGTATAGACTTGGCGTAAATTTTTTTTAATGGTTAGTATCTCGAAAGCTATTGCGAAGATCGCAAAATGGTATAGGACTTTTTTGTTCAGTTTGGTCCACTACCTCCCCACAAGCGCTGTACCATTGAATACGAGACATCCTGTATATAAATGTTATATAAATAGGAATATCGTGTTTTCCAATTTTATTTACATCGAATTATTTGAAATTAAAGAAAGGACTTAAAAAATAAAATTCGTAAAAGATTCACTTTCACCGTAAATGAGCTTGTTGTCATAACATTTATTCAAACTTTATCATCTGAATTTTCAGGCTTATTTAAAATTGGTCTTTTCTCAAAAGTTCTCACATTAGATTTGTAAAGATTGTAAAGAGGCAAAACTTTATTCATCATTATATTACATACCCAGCAAACATCAAGTTACATGTATAACTTGTTAGTTGTAATTTCCCACTCAACAATATAACTATATAATATATATAACACATATGTTATATTATGTGTTATATGATGTAACGTATTATAAATAATGTATTGTATTAATGTCTATTTGACATAAATAAATGCCACGCGTTGTTCCTTCGTTGTTACACCGGGCTCGTGAATGTGCACAAAAGTGCACGAGCATTGTTTGGAGATCGTGGGAAACCGGGAAGCGCGATTAGGGAGAGGGAGGAAAAGAGAGAAAGAGAGGAAGAGAAACTGCGGCGTTGGACATGTATTCGCTTGGCACCCACCCGGTGCAATACGCGTTCGACGTTAGAATAATCGCGCGGAAGCGGCTCCTGGAAGGTCACGAGAACGCGCAAGTAAGGCGCATCCACCGTGAAAAGCGCCAGGATGCACCGGATGCACGTCGAGGCATCTCTCGACCTTGACTCCTGATGCACCAACGTATATGTAGGTTATAATAAATGAATAATGTTAAAGCAAATAATAAAAACTACACAGCACATAGCCTACATTTCACAGCAAACACCAAGTTACAGTGTAACGTACTTACATGCTAGTTGCAATTTCCCACTCAACAAAATAACTGTATATAATCAGGGTTGAGTAAGTTAATATTTTTTTTTAACTAAGTTTAGTTAAAGTTAACAGTCTTAAAAATTTAACTTACAATTAGTTAAGATACAAGTTATAGTTCATAAAATTATGTGTTGTATGTAATTGAATCAAAAGTTAAGTTAATAAAAAAAAGTAATTGAAAAGTTAAATTTTTTTATTTCATAATTTTAGTGTTTCTAAATAAAATTTCTAAATAAAGTGTATATTTGTCATACTTGTTTCTGTCGAGCCGCGGAAAGAGGACCGCGATTTCGAAGGACTTCTTCCAACATGATTTAATGCATAGAAGATTTGTGAACAAATTCCTTCCCGCGGGCAGACCGTATTTATTATGTTATAACAATTGTCTCGACGTGCATAAATTTGAATTTGAAGACACCAACGCAGATGTGTATTTTATTTTGGATTTACAAGAAAAAATATAACTTTAAGAAAGTTATAGATCAAAAGTTAATAGGTAGTTGCCGATAAAATGTAACTAAATAAAGTTAAAAGTTAAGAGTCTAAAATGTAACTAAATTAAAATTATTTAACTTTTTAAATTTTTTACTAGGCACTATCCTGACTATAATGTAATGCATGTGTTATATTATAGTTATATTGCCGAGTGGGAAATTACAACCAACATGTACGTTACACATGTAACTTAGTGTTTTCTGGGATGCGTCAAGAGAGTTAAATATTTTCTCTCGTGTTTAAAACTTCGTACTACGTTTTTTTGATGCGAGTTTTTCGAAACTGAGAACAAATGTTTAATTTCTCGAAAAACGGTTTTTCTTTGTCAATTTAACAATCGCGTACATTTGAATCGGGGGGATCTGCAAACTGTTTTCTCGTATGATTGCAGAAGCGGAAGTTCATCAAAACGGAACGCAATTGTCTGGTCGTGTGCATTTTTTGTGTAGCGCGACAAATGCGTCGATTGTGTTGTGCATCGAAATGCTTTACTGGAGAAAAGGAGAATGTCGCGTTGTTAGTCGTAATGGGTTAGCAGATTCTCTGATAGCTTACAGCCACCTTCTTGACGTTATTGTATGACGATACTGTATAGGAACGATTTGAAAACGACGTTATTGGATCATTTCAACTAGATGATGCGCTAAATAATTGATTCTCTTTAAAAATTTTCTGTGTCAATCAAATGTAATCGTGATATTAGAAAAGAAATAGAGTGGGTATACGCGTATATACTTATGTTTATTAAGCGTTTTTGAAAAAAAAAACAAAAATTATATCAAGGATGTAGCTGTAACAAAAAGTAATAAAGAAAGAAGACAAACTCTTTAATTTATTTCTACTTTTTCCAATATAAAATAAAGCGAAAGATTAAAAATTCGAAAATCAAAGTTTTTAATTATAAATCCAATTAAATTCATTAGACATTAAAAATTTAAATAATTTAATCTACTAAATTATAATTTAAAAATGTTGAATTTATCATTAAATTATTTATATAATTTCTTTGTTATATTAAAAATGAAAAATTCTCTTTTCCCCTCTTCTAAAACTCTTTGAAAACTTTAAAGTGTACCGCTTTACTTACCGCGCTATAGCTCTCATTAGCCTTATTTCTGTTTCATTATTTGACAATTTCAGGAGTTTTCTAATTTTATTTTAAAGTTTATGTTGGATCTGAAACTATAAATGTGCATTTAATTTAATGTCTATGATTACGTACTATGATTACGTTATTATGATAACAATGTGATAATAGACACTCAATTAAATACACAAGCAGATTATAGACGTAAAAATTGTAATTTGACATTTTGCAAGTCTCTCTTCCATTAAAAAGTTCTCGTCTAACTCGCAAAACTAGATTATTAAAAGGGAGAATAGAATCTTCGATCTTCTTGTAGAGATTGGCCGCATCCTCGCCTACATCGACGAGCGTGAGGCTCGACGACGAATGCAATCGAGACCGGGAGTGCGAGATCGGTATCGCTAATAGCCACTGCTACTTGGGTTATTGCCGGTGTCAGCCCTTCTTCGCCGGTTACAATGGAACCCATTGTCTCGAATGTAAGTCTGTCAAAGTACTTTTTTATCTCCTCCAACTGCTCTCTCCCTCCCATCTTTCGACTGAAATCGATGTCCTTGAACATTCGTTTTACAGCGCAAAAATCTTAACGATTCGCCAGGGATAGATAATGTAATTTTAATGGCGTCAGATTACACAGAGTTTTATTTTTAAAAATCCTTAAGGAATATATTCCGTTGTTATTTCGAAAAAAAAAGGGAACGATGCTTCGCGTCATAATGTAAGATTTGCTGATATTTGTTGTAACAACCATTGCAGCGACTCTACTGGGAAACGATTGTATCGTGAAGGAACAATGCTCCTTGAAAGTGGCGAACAGCAGCTGCCTCGAAGGTGTATGCAGATGCGAGGAGGGACATTTACAGTTTCGCAGACATACCTGCCTGGGACGTAAGTGCATTCTGATTAGCGCATCTTAATTAAGAATTAATGTTTGAAGAATTACGTGCCGTAAAATTATGTAAATCAAATACAGTCGAACCTCGATAAGTCGAATCTCAAGGGAAGAGAAAAATCCTTCGAGTTACAGAGTTTTCGATTTATCGAAATTCGAATAAAACACACGGAAAGAACGATTTTGCTGGATTCAGATCTGAAAATAATTTTTGTTATACAATCAAAATAATTTTGAAAAGTCAAAGTGATTGCTAGATTATCAAAATAATTTTGTTGGAAAGTTTAAAATGCTTATCATTTTTGACTTTCCAACAAAATTATTTTGATGATTCAACAAGAATTATTTTCAGATCTGTGTTTAGCAAAATTTTTAGACCTTTCAGCAAAATCGTTCTTTCCGTGCAGGATTAAAGTAATGAAAATTCGACTTACAGAGGCTTTGTACGAGAGTTTAAAATTTTCCAATTATAATGGCTTTTAAAAGAAAAAAAAATCTATATTTGATAGTGAATTATTTATTGCATACATATAATAAATGTAATAAAACAAAATACCAGGCTATTACTCATGGCTACACATAGCTACAACTAGTGTGTCCGATGAATACATCCAATATTCGAATAAATGTATAAATAATGAATATGAATACGAGTACAAATACTACTTTTTTTATAATTATGGAAAATTGAATAAATACTTTGTATATGATTTGAATGAATATATTTACGAATATGATTACGAATATTTTTAAATTCGCATTCATCCCTCCTCCACACACTAAAATTCTGTCTTCGAGCTTTGTAACAACTGCCGTTATTCCGTCGCACGGAGTAGCTCGTCGGAAAACGGGCGGCGAAATTGGCTCAGGGCGGATAAGGAAGAGCAATTAATGTAACTCGGATTTTAATATGTACAAAAGAAACGAGTTTATTTAAATACTATTTGATACAATTTGGTACGCGCGGACGGACGTTATATA